CTTCAACGTGACTTTACCAAAAGAACCAAGAATATATATAGAAGTCTAGTTTGTAGCATAGTAGTAATGCAACACAAGACAGAGCAGCGCATCGTGGCTGTTTCTCTCTCTCCCCCCTCCTCCGTTCCGAGCATAGATGGACTCGTCCGTCTGAACAAAGCTCGTCGCTTTCCGTGGTGTTAACCACAGTGGTGCTAACGTTGAAAAGAAAAAAGAAACCGCCACTATTTTCCGACATAGTTACATGCTAATCCCACACACTAACATCATGCTAATCTCCCAGTTACATGCTAATTTCTGACTTTAACATCATGCTAATCCAACACATTAACATAGCTACTTCAATGCTAAATTCTTCTGTTGATATGTAAACTCCTTAGTCAAGGCGCTCTGCTCCTCCCACCCAGCTTAAAAGACACGGCCAAAGCTTGGCTGTGTTCACTGAAGCGCTGTCTTCCCAACAGTTCTGTCTCTTCACCTGAGGAAGGCTACTTGTGTTATGGCCGAAACGGCGTGAGTATTTTTATTTAATTGTTTTATTTTTATTATTTTATTTCAATTCTACGTGACTTTACTGAAAGAACCAAGAAGATGAATCCCTGCAGTCACGAAAGCTTTAAATCGAAATTTAACCTTGTAATGTTATTTATAACCAGCTAAGAGCCCATTGAGCTGCACTTGCACTCCCCATTCCACAAGGAAAACCCAGGACACGTGGTGGGATTGGAACTCAGAGCTTTCTTCCTGTCCGCAAGGCAAACACTCATCTCCTGGCCAATCTTCCACAACTTAACAGAAGCCTACGTGTTAAACTAACTTAACATCAACTCAACACATTGATAGGAAATGCGCTACGTAGACAATGACAATATTTTTTTTAGTAAAACGGATTTCTCAATTTCACATTTTTTGTTTTTGTTGCATGATTAAAAAAAAGTGCAGCCCAATCTTTTTTGGCATTCGTACATAATTATTGTAGGAAAAAAAACACATTGACTGCAAAGACCCTTGAAGCATCATTGCTGCATAACAGCTACTGCGTGGTGTGGTGTTAGAGGGCTGAACGGAATTACAAGTAAAGAAAATTGCCACAAAGCCATGCCACATGTTACAGTGTTGTAATAGGAAGTGACAGAAACAAATAAAAACACATCTTAAGCCATGCAACACAGTAACACAAAAGCTGAAAAGAATAATTGAGGTACAAGTTTGAAGAAACTATAAAACAATCAAGGTTTGGGATCTATACCAAAGAACACAACCACAAGTTATTGGTTTATGATGAATACATCTCACAAAACCACTCAACGCTAAAGTCACAGGTTTGCAAAAGCAAAATCAGGCATGCCAGGGTTTCCCAAGCACTCTTGTACATCCTTCCAAACCAGCATTTGATCAAACAATGGCCGTTTTGAGTGGCTCTAATGTTGAAGCTAACGTCAAATTATATCCCATAGAGGTCCTAGCCAAACTGCTGGCTAGCTCATTGTTCTCTAGATTTTAGAGTAAATTACATTTTAGGGCATGCTTTATTTCATTTGTTTGTTTTCAGTTCAGTTATATTTAGAAATAAAAAAGCCAGTTGCCAGAAAGGTCAGGAAGTTATTAAAATGGGTCGACATCCCACACGAATGTAAGGGACTTCCTCCTTCTGTGACAATGCTCGCTCCCGTGACAGGGGACTACTCATGTGTCTTCCCGGACATGAATGTGGACCATTTGTGGGAACATGGGAGGGAAATGATTTACTTTGCACGGGGGGGGGGGGGGGGGGGGGGGGGGGGGGGTTATGTGCCCATTTTGCGAGCGCCCGTTTACCAGGGAAACAAGGACAACATCAGAGCACAGACATTATCGAGCACGCCCACCCGAGGAGGGAGGTTTTGTGCAGGCGTCGGTCAAAATGCCTATGACTGAGGCGCCGGCCAAAACCGTGTAGCCAAAAACCGGCCGTCGGATCACTGCCATGCAATGAACAAGAGATGGAAAAATGAAATATGCTGGAAGTTATAGAGCACAAAATGTATAAAGTCTTTATAAAGCCTGTACGATAAGTGTGAAATGAGTCTGTGTTACGCAGGTTGGGTTTTTAAAAGAAAAAAACTTTCTCTCCCACGTACTTCTTTGAACTCCCCGTGTGTTCTATGCGCCCGCATTTGATTCAGGGAGGGATATATAAGATTAAATAAAAGCCAAATGATTATATCAAACATGCTTGGATACTGAAGTTACAAACTGTTCTGTATTTTATTTTCGTATTACTTGTGAAATTAAAACACTGTGGTTTTATCGAAGGTAAACAATCAATTAAAAAGCCATGCAATGACAATTTATAAATAACAATGTTCTGCAAAAGAGAGAACAGACTGCAATGCAAGCATACTACGTTATGTAGAAATGCAGTACGATGCAAGCTGTACCATGTAAGTATATACTGCACACCTACCACGTAGGTTTATATTGGTGGTGCAAGAGGATGTTTTAACACTTTGATGGTGGTAATGTATGTATGTTGAACCTCTTTCGCACCATACATAGCCAACTGTGCTAATCAGAGGTGCGGGGGAAGGACAAGAAATACAAAAATAGTTCTAAAGAAATTAGTTTTCAATCTAGATTTAAAAGTGCATAGCTCCAGTGGCTTCTTAATATAGAACGGAAGAGCATTCCAGATGGCCGCAGAAGCCCATCTGAAAGCGCACGATGCAGAGACCATCTTTATTCGATGGCTAGCCAAAATCTGATGCAAGGATGACCGGAGTTTGCACGATGGTTTATGCTCCTTGAAGAGATGAGCAAGGTATTGTGGTTCATTTGTGGCAAGCAACTTTGTGTGTAATTGGTGTAAATGATGTGCTGCACAACACACTGTTAGTGAGCACCGACAGTGGACAGCACATAACACTAAAAGGTGGGTGGATACAACAGCAAGACTCACTCACCCTGGTGTTAAATCATTGTAAAAGATGCTATTTGGCTATTTTGTACAATAATATAAACATTGTAAGCATCTAAGTGTAACCGCACAGAAAGAGAGCAAATGCAAATAGGAAACTTGAGAGGAGGGTATTTTTACATTATTTTTGGAGACAGTATGGAGCGGCATGGTAGAGAGAGAGAAATATGATATATTAAAGTACATTTTTGGCAGAAGAGGAGAGTCTTAAGCCTAGATTTGGGAAGGGTCTCTGCAGTGCAGATGCCCAGAGGAACTACAAAATCATCTTCCGAGGAGCAACCCATAATTGTTTAAAGGGGCTGACCGATACTTTAGACAAGCGAATGTGGTTAAGGGAACAGAGGACAGGTGGAATGGAGTAGATTGAGATGAGATGGCAAAGGAAGGTAGGAGCAAGTTCATGGAAGATCTTGATTAAGTGAAGGTGAATTTATAATTAATCTAAGACTTGATTGGGAGCTCATTTGTGGATGCGAAGTCTGGCAACATAATTTTTTATCAAATGGAATTTGGAGGTGCAGTAGTCGAGTCCCAGAGCCTCAGCAGTGGCTAGGGAAAGGAAGTGACAGAAACAGGAGATTTTGCACAGGTGAAAGTAGGATATCCTAAATTGTTGGGGATGTGAGCAAGAGCTCACAATCCATGACAACTTCAGAGTGCATGACTGTGCTTGATTATGTCCTTGATCAGGAATCAAACCTGCAATGCTGGTATATTATCTCAAATTTATAGTCACCACCCAAATATTTAACACGTATGTGCTTATATACAAAAAGACAAAGATCCCCTTTTAGCCTGGGACACTGCAGGGGATTAATCTGTTCATGAGCACTTGAGGTCAGCATTACACAAAAGGGGGTGGTGGGGTCAGCACCACACCCAACAACCCTTGTATCCCCAAAGCTAACGTTGTTCACACTGCATTAAGTACTCATTATGTGACGAGTTGACTTACGAGAGGCCAGGTATAGATAACAAAAGTCACGATAGTTTTGCATCATGGCTAGGAATGGGTCACCGGGATAATACTGAACTACATTATGCAATGTGTTACAATCTTCCATATTTACGAATACAAAAAAAATGGCAATTCAAACGTATCGTGGTACCCACCCTGGGTCATATAGGGAGAGCAGAGTGAGGTTTAATTAGTTAGTATATAAACTGGCCCCATAGTTTCTGTTGCTGAATGCCGCAGACATATATTACCAGGCAGCTGCGGGGACGAAAATTTACGTTCATGTAAAAAGAAAACACTTTTATGAGCTGCCCACGGTGAGCACAGTCGGTGGCCTGTGCATTCCATCCCTATACAGCAAGACACCCAGATGACGCATACGCACCTGGAACCAGCCTACACACCAGATGCATTTTCTATATTTCAGTGGCTTTCAAATTGGAAGGGAGGAGTTGGGGGGGGGGGGGGGAAAGCTCACCTTAAGAGTTGAGTCACAAAGTATATTGCCAAAGGCAGGAAGATGTTAAAAGAGTAATCAGATGGTGACATTAACAAAATGTGTGAGTGCATAAACAACGATTTGATTAATTGTCCAATCTTAGAACAGTAAATTAATTATGAAGCTCACTCAATCATGAGAACGAGGTAGGTACCGCACAATAGATTACCATTCAACATTGTAGAGTTTGCCAGATATGCTGGCAAAGACCTGTAATTCACCAGTCTGGAGGCAGGATTGGTGGTATATGCATAATTTAAGTGCCTAAAATACCTAGCCCAGCTAACTTTTATGTATGGGTTTGTGAGCATCATCCCCTCATATATGGTTTGTTTTCCTCTGATATAAAAATAAAACGAAATAAAACATTGGCCAAACATCCCAATGAAGTCTGCCCCCAAAAAATATTTAAACTGAGAATCTTCTAAATAAAAATGAACCATTAGATAAATATTATTATTATTACTAAGCAACAATGTGGAAAACATATTCATGCAATTGATATAGTACGTAGCATAAACCTGCCCGAGAAATAATGCCACCCATTCCCAATCAGGATACCGTCGGTCGAGGGCCCCTCTCACCTCCGTGCCGTTGCGTGTGAAGAAGATGTGTGCAACCCCGTAGGCCACCCCCCGGCCGTCAACGGTGGTCGTTCGAATACCACAGCCAATACGGTCGCCGGCCTCACAGCGCGGCCCAAACTGCTGGCCCACGGCCTGTCCACGGTAAAGCCTAGCAAGGATGTGGGGGACATGAGGGAGGACAATGAGAAAAAAATTAACAGGGGGTTAAGATAATCTGCTTGACATTGAGCTCATCGCATTTTGCAGTTTTCTCCCTGTAAAATGATATATTTTTTTTTTACAGATGAGACTCGGCACTTGAAACATCATCATTCATGAGTTATACATTGTTGGATGAAGGCTTCCCCAGGCGGTTACCATCCCTCACAATCTCCTAATACAAAAAACAAACTAGCTCCTGCACACAAGCATATTTTTTTCCATCTCCATTGTCGAAATGCTCTCGGGCATGTTCCCTCCTTTATCTGCCATTTCATCATTAGTCTCAACAATCGGCAATCACCCCTTCTGAAGATGTGTCCTGCATAAGCCTACTTACTTTTCTTAACAGTAAATATTAGGCATCTATCCATGTTTTCCTCTTTCTATTTCAGTGCGATTCCAAGCATCGTATCTTACTGTATATTTATAGAGCACCCTTAGCTCAAAACGCTTTACATACTTTAAAAGCTGTAACAAAAATAAGAGTGCTATTGAAGACAAGGGTGTACAAGGGACTAGGAATTATTTACCATAAGAGAAGGCACACAGGCGTCATGAAAGGGCAGGAGAGGGATGGGAAGCAGTGGAGGGGCTAGGGAAGAGGAAGGTGATTGGCAATGGAGAAGAAGTTAGCCTTGAAGAGTGGAACGAAAGGAGATTAAGGAGGCAGATTTCTTAATGAAAAGGGGAAGTTTATTCCAGTAGAGAGGTGCAAGGAGAAAGAAAGATCGAAAACGAGATTGGGCACAGGGAGGAGGGAGGGAGAGAGAGACAAGAGAATATTGTGAACGAAGAGGTCCGAGAGGGGGCATAAACAGAGATGAGCGAGTCAAGATGAGGTGGGGTATGACCATTGGAAATTTTTAAAGACACAGTGTAAAGGTATTTTAAAAGTCAGCGGTGTAGAAACGGTAGGCCAGTGAAGTTGAAGGAGGAGAGGCAAAGTTTGATAATTAAATGGGAGATTGAAAATAACCCACACGGAAGCAATTTGAACACGTGAAGTACGGTTACTTGAAACACAGGCCATATTAAAATACCGTAAAAGCAAACGAAATGCACTGGCGAAACATTGCGCAATTATATGCATGTTAAATCTTGACTTAAAGCTTTCGTGACTGCAGGAATTCATATTCTTTGGGTCTTTCGGTAAAGTCACATAGATAGGTTACAAAAATGTTTTTATGACGTTTCCATCGCAACACAAGCGGTCGTCATCAGGTGGAGAAAAAGAGGGGTTAGCCTCTAAAGGCACATTGTTTAGAAAAAGGTTTAAAATGGGCTTAGCCCAAGTGTCAGCAGCATGGGCGGAGGAGCTTATGTTAATGTGAGGGATTAAAAACGGTGGGCCTCCGCTTGTAGGGCGGAGGTTATGTTAATGTGAGGAGTTAAAAAACTGGTGAGCAATGGACTACTAAACTGGAAACATTACAGCCAGTTAAAGCTATCACCCCAACCGTTGGGAGAGAACCATCTGAGGACCCAATCAAAACCATCACCTTGCCATACATAGCAGGGGTCACCAAAAGGATTTCCAAAATCACAAACACAAGATCCAGGTTCGATTTAACACAGTACATAAATCTTGACTTAAAGCTTTCGTGACTCCAGGAATTCATATTCTCTGGGTCTTTCGGTAAAGCCACGTAGATAGAAAAATAATAAAAATAATCACAATATCACAACGTTTCGATCGCAACACAAGCAATCGTCATCAGGTGAGAGCTGCTTAAGTAGGAAAAATTATATGGCGGGAGCACTGCTACGGCAGGGAGCTATAAAGGTTTGAGATGGGTGTAGCCCAAGGGTCAGTGGGCGGGGCTAGAGATGAAATTTGCATGTAAATGTAAGATAGGGAAAATCTTGATAAACGAAGCTGTGGGGGTGGCCATTGTATTGTGAGAGATTAGCATGTCAATGTAAGAAATTCGCTTGTAAATGAAAGCTAGAGAGAGCTCGGAAAGGAACATCGCCACATGGAGGTGGGAAAGGATGGAAAGCCACTATGGGGGTGGCCAAAAACTAAGCTGTGTCTGCGGCAGTAGTTACATTGGGGAAACTAAGGGACATGTCTCGGACCGCGTTCGTGAGCATAAGCCAGATCTGAAACACGGTAGGACCAATACTTCGGCCGTGGCTGATCATCGTTTTAATGCGGTTGGCTCACACAAAATTGACTTCTGTAAGACGAAGGTACTTTGCAAACCCACCGGCTATCAGCAAAGATTTGTTTATGAAGCCATCCATATATAGACATAGACACAATTTCAACCGAGAGTATGGGTACAAACTCAGCAATCACTGGAAGGACGTTATCAACCAGTTTAAGTCATAACTGGCTATTATTTTTCCAATTTAGCACTGTCCATTGCTCACCAGTTTTTGTAACCCCTCACATTAACATAACCTTCTCCGCCCTACATGCGGAGGCCCACCGTTTTTAATCCCTCACATTAACATAAGCTCCTCCGCCCATGCTGCTGACACTTGGGCTACGCCCATTTTAAACATTTATAAACAGTTTGCCTTTAGAGGCTAACCTTCTCTTATTTCTCCACCTGATGACGACCGCTTTTGTTGCGATCGTAAATAATAATAAAAATTACCTATCTACGTGACTTTATTGAAAGACCCAAAGAATATATTCAGATTACATTCACGGCCTTGGAAAACGAATGTGCTCGTGGCCTGAATATGTATTCTTAAATGTCACAAACCCACATACACGAGCGTGAAAATACACCACGTGCATGCTTTAATACACAAAATATACAAACACATACGGTCTGTATATTATAAAAATTATACAAAAACATATTATTACATATATAACGTACATACACTATGCACAACAGTAAAAACTGGATAATGAATGGAAATACATGCAATGAGTAAATTACAATGTTGCAGTTCGTGATCAACTGTACAATATTCTTGGTTCTTTCGGTAAAATCACGTAGAAGGGAAACAATAAAATAATAAAAAATATAAAAAAATAAAATTATCACGACGTTTCGACTGCAACACAAGCAATCATCATCAGGTGTGAAAACCACAGCAAGAAATTTTGAAAAAAGTGGCGGTTTTTTAACGTTAGCACCACGGAGAGCGATTTGACAGTTTGTTCAGATGGACGAGTCCATCTATGTTCGGAAAAGATGAGGGGGAAGACGAAAATAATGGATGCGGTCTGAAAGCCACTGTAAGCGTGAACCATCAATTAAGACCCGAAATGGTTTATCAAATCCTTCCAATGATTGCTAAGCCAGAATCCATCTTCTCGGTTGAAATTGTCTCTGTGTTTGTATATGTGGATAGCCTCATGAACGAATCTTTCATGGTAGCCAGATGGCTTGCAAAGAACCTCTGTCTTGGAGAAGTTAATGTCATGTGAGCCTACTGAATTATAACAGTGATCTGCCACGGCCGAGGTGTTGGTCCTACCGTGTTTAAGGTCTGCTTTGTGTTCACGAATGTGGTCCGAGACATGTCATTTGGTTTCTCCAATCTAACTACTGCTTGTGTTGCAGTCGAAACGTCGTGATAATTTTATTGTTTTATATTTTTTTATTATTTTATTGTTTCCCTTCTACGTGACTTTACCGAAAGAACCAAGAATATGAATCCATGCAGTCACGAAAGCTTTAAATCAAAATTTAACTGTACAATGTTTTTTTTCACATATTGCATGCCAATTAGTAGCTTGCAGTTTCAGTCAAATAAGCATGCATTCTAAGCATTGTGAGAGCCCATTGCCAAAATACGGTCTACTTAACCTTAACCTGAGGAAACGGAGAATCTGAAGTTAAATATAATTTCCCCTGTAAATTGAGGCACATTTAAAGAAGGTTATTATGGCAGCAATAACAAATACTATCAGTTTAGGTTAATATTACTGTCATATAACAGCAACTATTTTTTTCCAATCTTCAACATTCACCACATTTACTGAGCATAGCTGGTCCATTTCACTAACGTTATGGCCATTTTAAGTTGGTTATGTCGAGGCCACATTGTGTTTAGTTTGAAATATAGCAAGACTAGGGAAGTAGAACAAATTCCACAGATGTGACCCCTGCATCTCATAAACACACCAAATCTGCATACCATTAAAATGTTACTTTAACATAACAAACATAAACTCCAAATTACCTGATGCAAATATGTATATGAAAGAGCAAATGGTTCCATACTTTTCACCCATCACAACCACTTTATATACAAAGTTCATCCATTCGTGCACACACATATTTAAATAAAAACGTTGCCAACACAATACCACACTTGTCTGAACATTGCAATTCCAGATGGTCTGTTAAATATAAACCCCAAGGCTGGTGCCAGTAATGTCTACAACCAAAAATATTCTCTGCCAAGACCTATCGGCCGCGATTACGTGGGAAGCCACCCGGTTGCCTGTGCTCGCTGTGGGAAGGTCGCTTCATGCACCACTCTTCCGCCCACATCAAGGCCACCTCACAAAAAATCTGAGATTTTCTCTGCAAAGTCAGACATTCATTTCTCTAGACTATCTGTCGATAATTAAAAGCATGTGGGGCATGTGACCTAGAGATGGCCAGTTACCACACGGGCAAATGCCGCAAGCGGCGGACGAGATTTCAATGTCGCTCTCGCCCCGCGATAAACGGAACGAAAATAAACCGGAGGCCAAACTGACTAGAACGAGTGCTAAACAAAACCAAGCCATACGGCTCGCAGCCAACGAAGGCGCATCTACCACTGATATGTTTTATTTTGCTGGGTTTTTTTTAATTAAAAAGTCTTCAGTTAATGGAATGCATAAACAATGATGTGTAAACCGACGACACATAGCCTCCATCCCAGCAAAGGAGGCCTTCTGTCTATGCTAATCAGACTGATGCCATAGGAGAGCTTTCTTAAAATGGAATTATTTTACTATTGCTAGTTATGATGAAGCTTCAATAATGCATCATGTAATATTTTATATTAATATAGACAAGGTAATTGTTTCATCAGTTTGGACATTATATAAACCACCTTGTGATATCTCCCTGCATCACTCTCCCTGTATGCTTGAGACAAGATAACCATCTCGAGGCTAACCATGTTACATTTATGACTAAATATAGATATACATTTAAGTTCCCTGAATACTGCAAACATATCGATAAAATTCGAATCACCTACATATTTCTAATTCAATTATAGGCTCAAACTTAAATTCACTTGATTACAGCTTACCAGAGTTTAGGAGTGGGATTACAGCAACGACGCAACTCGGTCATGTGTTATTTTCAAAGAATGTATTTACGTTCAATCACAATTAAAAAAAAAAATCACTCTCACACAACGCAAGCAAGAACAAAGTACGAGGATCCTACAGCCTGTGCGAAAATGGATAGTGTGTGTGCGTGCCATACTCTCCGTGCTCTGCGTGGAATGCCACAGATCCGGGAAGGAGGCCGGGCGGCAGGTCAAGGCGGTACCGCCGTGGTACCAGTCCCACTGAGATGTTTCCCCGTACACCACCATCCATAATGCACACCTTTGGAACGTGCACGTACACACACACACACTCTTTTATGGTACATATATAAAGCGGGCATAGCACTGGTGCAGTGGTTAGCGAGGTGCGCTATAAACCTAGTGACCCACGAGGTTAGATTCCCGGTCACAGCTAACATCAGTGGCAAATCATATCAGAACCAACCATGCCCTTCTCCCACATTCATGAACCTGCACTGACAAGCGTGGTGAAGCATGTGAAATAATATCCTATGACTGACAAGGCATGAGGGGGCCTTCGTCCATTGGTAGATGGAAAATCGCTGGATTTTTTTTACAAGCAAGCACTCCTGCGCAAACCTCTATGTCAGTTAACTTAGGTAAGATTTAGATTTTCATATGGTCTGAATGTCTTATACATGTCCAGCATGTTTACCAACTCCACATAAGCGTACGGTATTTGTACAATGGAGGTGACGCTAAAATGGAAGACAAAGAAACATATTACATGCACCAACTTTTAACACACTCACACGGAAAGACAAAAACCATGGATTTGCAGTGTCTTTCCATTAATGGACGTTCACGCACCACACCAGGTACTCATTGCAGGCCAAGACGCTTTGGCACACATCCAAGAGAAAATCCATGATGGACAAAAATGCATAAAAACCCAGTGCATCCTCAAAAATGCATGTCTTCGTCTGACACTGCCATGTGTGTCCCTTGCTCAAAAATACCCAATGTCGGTTAGCAAAGGATAACTGCCGACTCGCCAGCTTTTCCGCTGGCCTGCTATACCTCGAAGTAGCTGTTGTCCTTCCCAAGTGGCTGCGCTGCAATGTAGCATCCCACGTCGTCCGAATTTCCGTGGTAACTGCACGCGCCGCAAAACATGTGCAGGAATCCATCAAGTAAAATAGGCGGCAGATGGCTCTCCATTCAATCATGACAGATAGCGCCTGTACTTCATTCAGATGCAGAAGCTATGGAGCAACATCAAAATGATGTTTAAAAAAACTACGAAGATAAGTTTAATCTCCATCTGAATCTAGTAATTTTTACACTACTTACTAATTTATGTGCAAAAACGCATCTGAAAATGTGTTTTATTTTTAAAATAGATCTGTGTGTCCGAATACTTTCCATTTACACAATTGAAACCAAACGTATTTCCATACAATGCCTAGATTATTATTTTTCTAAGAAGTTGTGATGATTCACTATGTAACACAATTTTTGTTCCTGGGTAGTAAGTGTTATTTCTTAATTGGTAATGCCTAAAAAGCATAGAAAATGGCTATTATTCCCCATAAACTTTGCTTTTGCGAGCAGGACAGTGATATTTAGAAATGTACCTATTTTCAATGAGAATTTGTGTCCTTTCGTTCACATAAAGTCAGAAAAAAACAACATATTAATCAAAATGAATATGTATTTATACTAAAGTAATACAAAAATTACTACAAAAGATCTAGAAGTGAGTCGTTTTTCGAGATTTATGATTATACTGTAAATCACTTTCACGAATCAGCCCCCAAATGTAGTCTCCCATCATGTTCTCATGAAACTGTCCTTGGCAGCGGCGTTCAAAGTCCAGTATATCCTGGTGGAAGCGCTCGCCTTGCTCCTCCGAGTACGCTTCCATGTTCTCCTTGAATTTATCAAGATGAGCATCAAGGATATGGACTTTGAGGGACATCCTACAGCCCATTGTGCCGTAATTCTTCGCCAGAGTCTCAACCAGCTCCACATCGTTTTTGACCTTGTGATTGCCCAGGAAGCCACGAACCACTGCGACAAAGCTGTCCAATGCCTCCTTCTCCTTACAAGTGAACTTCATGGGGAATTCCTTGCACTTCAGGATCTTCTTTATCTGTGGTCCGACGAAGACACCGGCTTTGACCTTTGCTCAGACAGCTTAGGGAAGAAATCTTGAAGGTACTTGAAGGCTGGAGACTCCTTATCTACAGCTCTGATAAATTGTTTCAAAGGCTTCTAGATTTGAAGCTTTCGTGACTGCAACGATTCATACTCTTTGGTTTTTTTTGCGGTAAAGTCACATAGGTAAAATAAAAAATAAAATAAAACAATTAAATCACGACATTTCGGAGGCAATACAAGCTTCCGTCTTCAGGTGGAACAGTCACAGCAAGATCGCTGCATCAAAAAAAACGAGTATGTTTTCAAAGGCCCAATTTGATGTGCAGTGGTGGCATCAACACCTTATGGGGGTCCACCAGTGGCTCCCACTTGACGCTGTTCCTCCCCACAGAGAACTCGGTCTGCTGTGGCCAGTCCCGCCTGTGGTAGTGCACCTTGGTGTCCCTGCTGTCCCAAAGGCAAAGATAGCAGGGAAATTTGGTAAAACCGCCTTGGAGACCCATCAGGAATGTGACCATTTTGAAGTCTCTGATGACCTCCCAGCCGTACTCATCATACTTCAAGGCATCCAGCAAGGTCTTGATGCTGTTGTAATCCTCTTTGAGGTGCACCGAGTGAGCCAGGGGAAGAGACGGGTGCTTGTTACCATTATGGAGCAGCACGGCTGTGAGGCTCCTGGATGAGCTGTCAATGAAGAGGCGCCACTCATTCTGGTTACAGGCGATTCCGATTGCCTCGAACAGACTTGTCACATTGTGGCAGAAGCAGAGCCCATCTTGCCCATCTTGACGGGTGAAGAGGATGCAAAAAGGTTGGTTACGCTTCCTCTGATTTGCAAATGCACACTTTTATCCAACAAGTTCCACTGCTTGAGGCTAGACGTCAAAAGCTTGGCATTGGACTTGGTGAGACCAATATCACTGATCAAGTCGTTGAGGTCTTTTTGGTTGGGGTAGTATGGGTTTCTCTCCTCAACTCTACCTCTGAAAGTGTCATCTGGATCTACAACGTCTTCCTCGCTCTCTGACTCGCTGCTCTCTTCTAAAGACGGCTGCTCTCTCTCCAGAGGAGTGGATACGGGGAGCTCATGGCAGTGTGCCACCGGGGTGATGGATGAAGGAAGGTCCGGATACGTGATAGCAGGTGCATTCTTGCCAGTCCGACGTTTGGAAGAGTCCACCATGCAGAAGTAGCAGTTGCTTGAGTAGTCAGTGGGTTCCCGCCAAATTCTTTGGATAGCGAATTTCATGGCTCTCCTTTCCCCCCTGTACCATCCTACAAAAATACATTTATTTCACCCATGACTAATGTATAAGAGATTCTCGGAACATTTTTCATATATGACATATTTTTTTCAATAACACTGAAAATTGTAAAAAAAAAATTACAATTTTTAAGATTAACAAATTTAGTCACATAAAATTTCCAGCAACAATTGTCCATTGCTCGCAGGTGAAATGAGGTGCCCAGGGTTTATCTTGATCCCCAACAACCATGCCAAAATATGCCTTGTAGGCCTTCCACATCTTAGCAGATGCTTCTACAGAGTACTTTTTCGCTCTTGTCTTGATAAATTGGCCACAGACATAGCAAAATGCGTATGCCGGATGCTTGCAGCCTCTTGATGCCATCTCAGAAAAATGCAGATATGTATCCACTTAGGCAGCTGGAACTAAACTGAACTGGTGGGCTTAAGGCCCCTGTATTTATACCACTATTTATATTACTGGAAAGTTGTAGAATATTCTAGAAGTTACTCCAAGTTTACTCAGCACTGAATCTATCTGGAATGTTCTGGAAAATAGGTAAATTTCAAAATATCACTGTCCTGGTCACAAAAGCAAAGTTTGTGGCGAATAATAGCCATTTTCTGTACTTTTGAGGCATAAGCAATTAAGAAATAACACTTACTACCCAGGAACAAAAAAAAATTTAGTTACAGAAAGTGTAGTGTACTCAGATGATCACTTGTATAGGTAACACAATCACATATATGAGCAATGGGCATACAAAGTATAACATGAACTTACAAAGGGAACTACTAAACAAAAAGACAATGATCATCACCAAGCCATATAGACTGCAAGAGCAAGTGTTGACAGGGGACATGACAAGGTGGTATGAGCAGCACCGCACCAGGCCGCCCGCATCTCATGCGTGCTACAGTGTGGATGTAACTAGAAGTGAACTTGCTAAAGACCAAAGTTGATAAACGGCAAGCCCAGAAGAGGTAGAGATAACAGAAACTTAGGACCGACTTTGACAAGGATTCACCATGTTAATCTTACACCTTAAAGCCCACACAAACCCACCTTAGGATGTCACCATCCACCTGAATGTGCTCAAAGCGCGCACGGAAGCGCGGTGGCAGGGGTTCCCAGAGGCCGGCGCGTCCCCGACCCCCACGCAGACTTGCCAAGAGCCCTCGGTCGCCCAGTCCCAAGTCATCCATCCCACCCGATATACGCGTACACATGCACGCACGTACTCTCTCACGTTCGCGCACACATGCCTGCCAAATGAGACCAGCGGGGTGGGGGGTTGCACAGACACATAGATATGTCTTACTAGAGCATTCTGTGGCGCCGACTTCCCATTAGGTTCAAGAACATCTGTAAACACCATAGTTATCCAATGCCTGAGGATATAGCCACCACATATGTTGTAAAGGGTTTAGAGTTAGTAATTGTCTTCATACCCAATGCAAAAGATACGAAAACAGTGAATGCTTTTGAGGGCTCCAAACCAATATGATTACATTTTCAGCAGATACCAATAAATTAAATTAGGAGGTTCACCGACAAATAAGAATCATCGTTTCTGCCAGATCCATGACCAAAATGGCAAGAGCCGCTATGGTGGGATTTGAACGAACGACCAGAATCCTGCCCGATAATTTCTACAAAAAGCGGGGTGTTTTTACACGTGAGTATACATGAAGTATAGTGTGCAGCCTCTATTTAAGATATCATCTGTATAACACCATATAATGCAATGGTCAATGAAGGGGATTGTGTACCTGGTATGCTGTATGTTGCACTGGACAGATATTCATCTTGTGACAACAAAAAGCTGCATACTATAATTTAGAGACCCCTATGAAGTCAAGACAGCTTTGGAAGTAAACTGCTAGCAATGAGTTTAGGAGTTTTGACATTTCATTCACACTACGAGAAAGTAGTTTTAATGAGAAGAAATAAAGACCTTGATAAACCTTGGTATTTCATTGCCAATCCTGGCAAACAGTATCAATGGGTGAATGTGAGATATGAGAATTTTTACAAAACACAGACACTTGCCCAGTCACATAGCTTAAATTCATATTTTTTATTTTTCTTAAAATCAGTGCTTCTGAACCTCCAGCTCCCATAAACCTTGAATCGCCAAATTTTCCATCCAAAAGAAATGAATATACTTGTGCCATGTGGACTGTCATTAGTGTACTTACACAGTTGATACCCTGGATTCATATTGAGGATATGGCCCATAGTAATATCCTGGAATGTGGTAGGTCCATCAGCACTTTAAAGTCAATAGCCACTGCTGTGCATACTGCTGACACAAAAGAACTTAAGCAGAGATGCATCTCCAGGTAAGCTTTTGCAGGTGTGCCAGGCCCAGAAAAATAAAAAGCTTTCCTCTGCACACATTAAAGTAAGCACATGGGCACAACCATTAAAAGGGCTAAAAAAAAAGTGAAAAAAATCCATTTGGGAGTATCCGGCGGCATCCGCTGGCTCCCTTCGAGAGCTGTTGCGGCATCCGTGTGTGTGCACTGAAAAGGCCAGGTGTCAGATTTCTTGGGTACGGGGAAAAGGGCTATTGATAGAGGCTCTGGGATAGTCCGTGGCCATATTCCATAGCACGCAGCCAGGACGGGCAAGTGGTCAGCACACTCTACACTCGGCCAGTTTGTACGGGGTCAAAGGTTTGAATCCCACAGCCATCCGGTGACACTGCGACGCGTCACCAAAGCACGTTGTCTGTTGTAAACATTAAAATACCACAACATATTTAGCAAAAAGTAGGCTACTGATGTGCCACCATCAAGCCAAAATATAAACGTTTGAACTCTCATACTGTTGGTATGTTTAAACTTAAGGAAAACAACAGCATTGTATTACATCATACCTCACTAAATAAAACTTAAATCACCACTCTTAAAATATAAGCTATATTCTCCAGTACTTTAACAGAAAAGAAAAAACACTTAAAAATATAAATTTTTAGATAAAAAAAAATTTCACCACATTCTACAAGATTATACATTAACCTTTGCCATGTAATCCTTCATCAAACTCTTACATCTATTTTTTGTACATTAAACTCTTAACCATAAATGTGCACCATGCTCTCACTTAAACATGGCAATAAACAGTGTAAGGCAACCAAATAAGAGAAGATTTGAAGTTGATTGAAGCTTGATTCCACAGACTACCGTATGTATAATTACAAAAGAGTGCAAAACGACTGTATATACACTACTGCTGTTACAATGTATGTGACTGTGAAGACACATAACTAAATAAATTCATTCCATAAGTTCAAAAACTGGCCCCAGGTGGCACCCATGCCTCGCATGTATTTGAACCAGCTATACTTCAACTAAAAGGGTTGTTATTTATAGGAATCACCGGGGGTTAGATGTTAGGGCAAGGGGTAAGGGCTAGATTTAGTGTTAAGTGCAGTCAGGTGCTTGTTTAAAAATATATAAGAAATACATTGCCACACTGACCCTTGTTTAGACTGCCCTCCAGTCACATGGCATATTCTGGCTAGTCTCAAGAGTCATAAATGCCCACAATTTGATTTTGTGTTTGCATTGGAGCTGATACAAACACACTCTTGTTGGAGGTACACACCGCAAGTGTGATATATTAAACCAGTATGATGCTCAATTTTGCTCATACATCCATCACTGGAAGACCCCTGCCCTGCTGAAGGCAAAATCCCTCACCGCCAAGTTCTGCTTCATCTCCTGCCACGTTAGTTTTCTACCGGTTCTTCCCCCCTATTATTGCCTACAAGTGCTGTCCCCCTATTTTGTCCTGCAGTTTCTGCACCCCCCCCCACCGATCTCTTTCTGCTGGCCCTGTCTTTACCTCCAGTTGGTACTAACCACCCCCCCCCCCCCCCATTGTATCCTGCTGCAAGTTCTATCCCACAATGCCTGAAACATAATCACCAACTATCATCTGTAAGTACTGGTCCTCATATCCTGAACAGAACCGGACAAAATTATATTTTGCTGTTACTGTCCCCCCCTCCCTCCCCCCCCCCATTTATTGAAGGTTCTGCCCTCATCTTAAGTAGGCACTGCCCCCAACTCCCTGCCCCAGTATCTTGTAAAGTGCTTTGAAGGGTCACTGCCCAAAACGTCACGTGGTTTAACGTTTTGCTTCGAGGCAGTGTTATTGATGAATGTGTTGAGGTTTTTCTCTCTTTCTGGTAAAGTACGTGCGCGCACGACTGACAGTGTCACCAAGTAATTAGTATAATCTACTGAAGCTTCTGCTCCTCATCTCTTGAAGGTGCCCCCCCCCCCACCATGATCTTCCACTTGGTTAAAGATACTGCCCCATTATAGATACAACCCAACGTCTCTTGTACGTACTGCACATGTCCTGTGGGTGCTTCCCTCAAGTATATCACGACCGGTGACGGCCTCAACTTCGTGTAGCTGCTGACCACCCCCCCCCCCCCTCTAGTCTCTCTGAAAGACGTGACACTGTGGTGGGAAGCAAAGGGGGGGGGGTAGAATTTTTTACCAGTGCTTCCCCGACACATCATCATCATCATGTTAAATTCGTTTTAGGATACGAGTGCGAAAATTACTCCCGTTGACCGAAACGACCCAACACACCGAACCCATCCATACCTGTCGACTCCCCCTTATCGGTGCCCTACATTATTACAGACCTAATTCAGACCTTATTAATTACCCCGTGCCCTTATAAATCTCAACGTTCATCCTACAAAGTCCCATCACAAGGGAGAAACACGAACAAATAGACGAACGCATTTTTGTTGCCCGTATTGAAACGGCTGTACGCCGCCGTAGGAACCTGAAAACTAAATTTCCCTGTATAAGAATACGGGGTAAACCGTATGGGTTGATAGCTATGCGAACCCAGACAACCTAACCGTGATCAACCTAACAGTTATAACCTCAGGCAAGCATTCCCACTCATTTATTTTGCTCGAGAGCCCCACACGTTCGACAGATTACCACTGTAACTTGGACAATTCTCAGGAGTAGCAAACTCTTGAGAAGTGGTGGATCGATTATCGGTCCCTCAAATAAACATATACGCGCGTTATCGTGTTTGTTTTCTCTCCAAGGCACCCCCGACATTGTAAATAAGGCGGCTTGAACACAAACTACAGGAGTCAGACTTGAGAAGTCATCGACACATTCAACGAGTTTGTTAAATACAAACAAGGAGCGTCGCTGCTCCAGCGCCTTTGCGTTCGTGCCGTACTGTAAGAGTACAGTAGCACCACTAGGCCCGTGCGCTTGGATACAGACACGAAACTCGGCCGCTTTTATCGCCTTACGTCAATAATGTTCGCACGGCCATTGTCATCATCAGCGCACCCACCAGGGATGCACCTTTTAATTTAAGTCGCCGCGTGACGGCATTGTTATTTCACACAACCCACGCGGAGTTGCGTAGCGAGGAAGGCCTTTACACAAGGCCGGTCCGACCTCGGATAGAAGCCGAAGCCGGGGAATCCCCGGTAGCCGACCCTGCCCCAGACACCCCCCCCCCCACCCCTCTCTCGAGACCCCCGCTGCTGTTGTATAATTGTGATGAATTACAGTGGCGATGAATGATTGTGACGACGACGATGATGGTGGTGGTGGTTGTAATGTTGCTTGGTGGCGGTGACGACGACGATGGTAGTGATTGTAGCGATGCAAGCGACTCACTGTGTGTGAGGAGGGTGGGGGGAGGGAGAAGTCGCCCCGGCGTCCTCTCGCCGCCTTCGTTGCTCCCGGCGCCGCCTCGACCTGGTGGAGTGGTGGGGGGAGGAGGAGGTGGTGGTGGGGGGGAGGTGGTGGGGGGTGGTGGTGGGGGGAGACCCGGAGGTGGTGGTGGGGGGGGGTGGTGGTGGGGGGAGACCCGGAGGTGGTGGTGGGGGGAGACCCGGAGGTGGGGGGAGAAGGTGGTGGTGGTGCCCGGGGGAAATGAGCGACCTGTCTTCGCGAGACGACGACGACTCGATGGCGTTGTAACAACTCCGGCTTTATAAGAACGATCGAGGGAGCGAGAGTTAGAACGCCGCAGGGCGGAAGGATCCGTAACGCTGTTTGAAGAGTTTTCTAATTTTGATTTAAAGCTTTCGTGACTGCAGGGATTCATACTCTTGGCTCTTTCGGTAAAGTCACCGCGTAGAAGGGAAACAATGAAATAATAAAAATATAAAACATGTGTATCGTTTCCCTTCTACGTGGTGACTTTACCCGAAAGAACCAAGAATAAAGAGTTTTTAGTTCTCGCGCCGCTGTTCTGACAATTCCGGCGACGTTACCAAGAACGTTTACGCACCGCGGGGGTTGTTCTAACGCGCCAGGGTTGAGTTAGAAGATCACGGTGTAGCGATCTATAATAAACAACTCTGTCGAGTAAGAACACGGCGACGGTTTAAAATTGCCGGTAAAAAGTTAACACCTCGAGTGAGAGAGATCAGGGACAGCCTTAAAAACAATGTAACCCTCTTTTGTTAAGAGAACGCTGGAACGTACGCTAAGTTCTAAACACGAGCGTTATAACGCTGGAGTTCATCTTCTTTGGTTCTTTCGGTAAAGTCACGTAGAATGAGAATAAAATAATAAATTGATAAAATAAAATAACACAATAATATTCTCACGACGTTTCGGCCACAACACAAGTGGCCTTCAGGTGAAGGGACGAGACTGTCTGGAGGACAGCGCTGGAGTGAAAAAGCCTGTCCTCCAGACAGTCTCGTCCCTTCACCTGATGAAGGCCGCTTGTGTTGTGGCCGAAACGTCGTGAGAATATTATTGTGTTATTTTATTTTATCAATTTATTATTTTATTCTCATTCTACGTGACTTTACCAAAAGAACCAAAGAAGATGAATCCCTGCAGTCACGAAAGCTTTAAATCAATGCCCCATACCCTTAGTTCACTTAACGTCTTAACTGTCAATATGATGTTTATAACGTGTTATAAACATATGTAGTGACATACGACGTCACTACTGTGTCGGGACTACGAGCGTAGGGACATATGACGTCACTAATGTGTAGGCTCGGTAGGGGGGCGGGTGTCACGGGGGTCGTGTCAGGCCGTGACACTGCGTGAACCCAACAGGACACGTGACCCGATAAAGGGGCGCTAGGGGCCCCAGGGGGGAGCGTTGGGGTCACGTGGTTAGGGGCCCGGACCTTCTCGAAGGATCGAGAAGGGGGGCGTGGCCTGGGGCGGAGCCGGCCACGCCGCAGCGGTTATAAGCGGGGCGTGAACAGAGAGCGGGGCTGTTCAACTTCGGGATGAAGACGCCATCAACGGTCTTGGAAGTCTCCGACCTTCGTCCGTGACCAGGCAGCCCGTCACCTGCCCTGGTCACGCTGTGTAGTATTCTCCGATCCTCCCAGGGAGCTCAGGCCCGCCTCGCCTGGGGCCCGGCCTCGCCTGGGGGTCAGGCCTCGTGAACTCGTTCTAAGACTGGCCGTTTTACGTGACTCGCACACACCACCGTCATTCAACTGTCGCACTCACATGTCAAGGAGGTCATTGGCTGAACCTGGCCTTTTATTGTACTGTGCGTGCGTCACATTCTTGCATGGGTGGGCTGTGCTATGGGGTAAGCGGGTTAGCCAGTATCGTGTACATGTGTTGTTTTGTTGTTAATTCCCCTCTATCCATGCGTTCTCCTTTCCCTTTTCTCCCCCCCCCCGCCTCTCGGAATGTGTACATATTTTATATGTATTTATTATCGGTCGCCTGTTATTTATTGATGTTGCTTGTTCAGAGGCACACCTTTCAATATTGTTTTCACAGTTGCGTTACAGCCGGGGCGGCTGTGTGTTACATGGGGGGGGGGGGGGGGGGGGGGGGGGTGATGTAGTGACATACGACGTCACTACTGTGTCGGGACTGTCCGAGTGTAGGGACATGACGTCACTACTGTGTTGGCTCGGTATGGGTGCTGCAGCCGGGTGTCACGGGGGTCGTCTCAGGCCGTGACACTCTGCGTGAACCCAACAGGACACGTGACCCGATAATGGGGGGCTAGGGGCCTCAGGGGGGAGCTTGGGGGTCACGTGGTTGGGGGTCCGGACCTTCTCGAAGGATCGAGAAGGGGGGTGTGGCCTGGGGCGGAGCCGGCCACGCCGCAGCGGTTATAAGCGGGGCGTGAACAGAGAGCGGGCTGTTCAACCCCGGGATGAAGACGCCATCAACGGTCTTGGAAGTCTCCGACCTTCATGACCAGGCAGCCCGTCACCTGCCCTGGTCACGTTGTGTAGTATTCCCCGAGTGTTAGTGAGATTAGGAACGGTGGTCACCACCCCGTGTTTAATGTTCCAGTTGGTTATGCGTTTATAAATAGTGTTGCCTTCAAGTTGAGTGTGCGCCTCAATCGAACCCATTACACATGTTTAAAATACATGACAGTATTAATACTATTTGTCATAATGCAGCACAACCGTAATACTGTAGAACATATTATGACCACAATATTGTTCCTAACTTCTAATGCACCCGAACCACACTACCATATGTTTTTGTGGCAACTGTTGATGTGGTGGTGCTGATGATACTCGTAACAGTAAGCCTACAATTGACAACGATTTAGAAAACCACTGACACATGAGTTCAGGTTTTAAGACTGCTGTCTGCAATGTTTTCTATGCCTCATGCCAAGGCCGTAATTATAATATATATTGGGGACACATCCCCCCCCCCAATAATCAAATATGCTCAAAATGTCCCCCCCACCCCAATATATTGCTATTAAAATATTTTTAAGAATAAGAATTGCGATGCTATGTAAATAAAAACAATTTGCGAAACCTTGGCCACAATATCTGGACTTGTCTTCATATAACAATGCATAGATTTATGTTTATATGATTGGTTATAGTTGTACGTTATGAATCCCTAATCTCTGCCGTTACATGCAATGAAACAAGAAAAGGTAAAAAAGAAAAAACAGCAATGTAATACAATACACTATTAGACATTATTGTAAAAAAGTCAATAAAAAGTCCATCCCATGTGTTAGTTATTTTTTTATATTTTAGGCAGGAAATGGCAGGAAGATTTGGTCACCCCCAATGTTGACTCCATCGCTACAGCCTTGCCTCATGCTAAGTGTGAATTTTGTATGGCTGAAGACAATGTAAAAGATCCTGCTGTCATCTGAACTCTATCAGCCAAATGTAATGTTAAGTATACAATAAAGCAGAATATAAACATAACTGTCTCACGAAAGGCAAACTGTCCCGAAAGAAACTATACTCAAATCTCAGTACCTCTTTGCAGTACGCATTATGGCTTCTCTCGAATTCCTTCCCTAACCTAGACCGTGCAATTGTGTCTCACTAACTGCCATTAAAGCATTTTCCACTCATCTATGAGAAAACATTCGGGTTCATGAAAACAATGTGCATCGTACTGCTTTCCAAATCATACACTGCTGTCTTGCTCGTGACTTTGCTTTAGGGCACAAGCATTTATGTTGTTGTGGGCAACTAGCCTAGTACACATTGCCGAGTATAAAAAAAATTCTAGGTTACTCTATGGCACTTCGATAAAAGGCACCGTTATGGAATTTGACGCAGTTTATTCTTTGCCAATGTTTCCAGTCCGTGCACAAATTTTGTTTAACTGGTGTCTTGTGAGAAAATGCAACAGTGAATTTCACCCTGGAGACCTGCTGTTGCTCAAAGGCTTGTGTGTCTATTCATGAGCGAGACAAGCACTGCCTGATAACCGTGCACGCACAATAGTAGGCACATCTGAGAGCAGTAGCGATTAATTACTAACTGCGGTTCACTTGCAACGAGGGGACTGCGGTCATGAACCTGCTATTTATACAAAATTCCCCACGTAAAAGTAAACCTTTAAAAAACACTATCTCACGGTCATTTTAAAGCAGTAATATGGCGTTGAATGCACCTTGTGCAGACTCGTCTGTTGTACGTTGGCCACTGGCAAGTGTTGTCCATGAAGTGCAGATAAAACCGGAGGTTTTTTTAGGGATTCCATCCATGTGCAGAAAGCTTCAACGCATTATTTCTGTTCTTGTCTACAAATAGGAGACGATCAATTATTGACACCCTCAGTGGACCCAACAGGACAAACTCAGAATGTTGCTCTGACATACACCCCCTGATGTCATAGAGAGCACTTTCATGACAACTACCATATACGACGGGGTTCCCATTACCATGTCATTGTTTTAGCACGTCAGAATATGGAAAGGAGTCATGAGTGATAGAAGCAAAACCATGAGCTACGTGTGTACTGTATACTTCTTTTGTTCACTATTCCATTACAACACCTAAATTGCCCCATCTGGACTCTTACAATAAAAATACATAAAATTCAACAGTTCATACATTTGGGGACCAAATGATGGATGATACTTTTATGGCAAACGAGTTTCTACACGACCAGGTACAATGGCTCACTGGGTTAGGTGGCACATCTTCTTGTAAGACCATCGTAAAAATAAACATATATTAAATAGTGCATTCATAATGGCCTGTGTTCTTGTGGCCTGGCCAAGGTTGCTATTATTTTTCGATAATATTTGATGATGGGGTTGATGCTTGACACCCAATATGATGTCACCTTTGGCAGCGGTAATATGTCATTCTGACCCCACCTGATTAGAACTGCACAGGCTGGAGCCAGACAGTTATAAAAACTGCACCCTGCAGCCTCGAGAGTGACCACAATGAGCTCTGCATCTCATGATGGTGATGCGATGATGTGATAAACCAAAGGAGATAAAGGAATGACGATGATGCTGGCAATAAAGTATCTTTACAAAC